ACGCCCAGGGTCCCCCGTTTTCAAAAAACACACACACACACACACACGCGCACACACACACACACAACCCACACACACACACACACACACACACACACGAACTGGCGTGTTCCGCAAGACGGTGGCGCCCAGAAGATCCCAGAAGCAGTTGCACGTTCCACGCAGCCCTTTGCACACAAGTTTGGAAAGGCGGAAGCAGCAGTGACCAAGCTTATCTATGGTATGGGATGAGGAGCAGGAACTGGTCATCCCGACGTGCCGGTAGGGTTTTTGATGTGGTGTGAGCAAGAAGTCACTCGCATGTCTACTCTCGTAAGGAATACCGTGGCCACTGATTTGCGTATCTGGTACTTTCAAGATGCACCTCGAGATGCGGGCTTGCGAGCTGGATAAAGCTGATGCTTCTGGGCCGTGCTGTAGGGCTCTGTCAGGAGGCCATTTGCCAGAGGTGCGATTGTGCATTATCTTTTCTTTTGCTACTTTAACTGAGCGTTGTGGTGATAAATATTTTGTGCGCTGCGGCTGCCTTGCCGCCTAACTGTTTGACACTTTAAGTGGTTGCCTCGAATCAAGATGACAGCGTGGGAGGAGACTTCGAATGTTCAACAGCAAGATGCGATCTTTTACAACAAAAACATGCGGGGAAGTTTAGTGGCTGCTTCCGATTTCTACGTGTCAAATTCGCACTTTCTTCTCGGCGATTCAAAGGAAGGTGGTGACCTGGAGACCTAGAGACCCGGACAAGTGCTGCAAATCTACTTTGTCGGAGAGGTGCTCAGCAGACTTGACAGCAGCTTCTTCCTCGAGTGAACCTGCATTGCAGTTGAAGACTCAGTCATGTTGGCAGGTGCATACGGTAGCTGTCCTTCGCTGGCCTTCAAAATACCTAGACCTTGGCAAGTGGCTACACTTGGTTTACTTGGGTGTGATGTTTTCTGGGGTGCTAATTACGTCGCAGCACTCAGCAAGGCTGATGCTACCCCATGAGGCTGACTTTTGACGTCGGCTGGCCCCCTGCATGTCCCCGCGTGACACAACGGGTGCAGATAATTTGGGACATGAAGGGCACTGTTTTGAGAAGTAGCGTTGAGTCGGTCCATGGAAATAAATAAAACTTTGAAACTGATGCTCAGGACATTTGGCCCTCATTCTTACTTTGACCTGTAGACATGAGAGCCGAATCAAAAACATAAACATCTTCTCCGGATGCCGCAACCCTGCCTTAGACTAGGTCTACAGGAGCCAATTGTTCAGGAGGTCAAACGCGCACATTGCAGTCCCTGCAACCGGGTAGAAAGGCTTGCGATTGTGTTGTGCATTAATGACATTGTCACTGCGCGGGCACCAGTCACGACCTATCTCTCTGCAGGCAGCGCATGACACTTTCACTTTCATGAAAGCACACGACAGAGTTTTTATAACAACATGAATAGCTACTGAAGGACGAATATGCGCGTGGTTGATTTCTCTAACGGCTGATCAAAACTTCGTGGTGAAAAGGAGCGGTCAATGTTTGCCAGCTGCCACAAGTTGTCTCTGGGTTGTGGAATTTGCCAGGACTGTTTTTGGAGTCTGCTCGAAGATCATCTTCTAGTGCTTTTGCGGCGCATGCCGCTCTGCAGTAGCCTCACGTCACTTGTTCTGCAAGATGATTGAAGTTGTGGGAGTTACGTGGAGCTTTGATTTAGGCACCAGAAGGCTACACGTGGAATATGTTGATTGAAGCTGCATGATCTGAGAAATGTGGTACGCATATCCGCCAAAGCTTCGCCGGCTCATTTTCTGCTTTCCATACTTCTTGTCTTTTTAATGGTCTTCGGCATGGTCAGTCAGCCCCCTGTGAACTCATGAGGAGGAAGGGGTAGGCAGTTGTTCATCCCGTTGAGAAACATGATTGCCGGATATTGCGGGCAATCGCCTCCAAGTCCCAAATCTAGCTTGAGGCATCTTCATGCTCAACACGCTTTCAATGTTCTCAGCATGCCAGGGTGGAACCTTGCATGTTTGGAGCCAGTACGAGGGATGGCCGCGGCAAGCAAGCGTCCTTGCTTGCGAGATTTGCGGGTCTGCGGCTTGCTCGTCTGCACAGGCTCTGGGCTCTGGCCGCCTTAATTGCGAAGGCATACTACCCTTTTGGTTTGCGGGTGCTGTTGGGAAGGGTGTGTGAACCAGGAGCAGGAGCAGGAGCAACTGTGACCACCGCCACCGCCGCCACCACCTTATCATCACCATCATCGTGAACCGCACTTCTGCTTGCACAGCACCCATTATCACTGACACCACTGTAAACACTACCACCGTGGCCGACACCACCAACACAACCACCGCCGCCGCTGCAGCCACCACTGTCGCCACGGCCACGGCCAATGTCCCCGCAACCATCATACAGCATGACCAAGACCTCGACGATGACCCGCCGCAACATGCCACAACCACACAAACCAAAAGTTACACAACCACTCGCCACCGCTGCCAAAATCATCATCCTGCATACCCCCCTATCCGAGTCGCACGGCTTTTCCATTATTTGTATCTAGCCCAGTACGAAACCTCATGAGTAGGAAACGTCGGACCCCCGATTCCTCATGAAATCAATAAATTTCTGGGAAAGCAAACGAAGCCCTAGTTCCCTATCATTCCGTTTAGAGACTCCCTCAATCACTTACAATCCCCCTAATTCAGTAGGAGAAGGCCTTTGATTGTTCTTCTTGACATCTGTCCTACCCTTTCAAGAGTAGTCTTCCAGTTTTTGGGCCCTCCAGAAATGGTGTTGATCATTATGGGGTGCTCTACTATTGGTTCCCCATCCATGCGCCTGAATGATGACTCGATGAGCGCCTCATTCTCAGTAACCTGCCATCAAAACTGAGATGGTGGAGTCGAAGACAGCATCATTAGCCCTCATCACCACTGAATGCAAAGCAACCAAAGCAGCAACTGCTACTGGACAGACTCAGCTTCAGGTTTCCAAGTCACTCTTGAAGCTCCGAAATTTTGTTCATGCTTATCTGCTCCTGCAAATCATGCCGGATTTTTGGACGATGGTAATGCCCTGCCTGCTGGGACGAGGCCTCATATTATCGCTTTCGGGGCGCTTTGTTCCCCACCCTCAGGGGGGTGTGAGATTTTAAGGAGATGCGCGCGAGGAAGGCCGGCGAGATAGCGAGGCAGCGAGAACCACCACGTCGGTAGGCGCCAGCCACTAGTACAGATACAAGTGGACAACTTAGAGCACGGGAAAGACGACAGACGACAGGACACAAACAGAGGACAGACCGCACGACAGACGAAGAGAGAAGGTCAGAGAACAGGCAGGACAAAAAAAGAAACAGAGCAGAGAACAACGGAGAACAGAGAGAAAGACAGATAAGATGACACCAAATAGCAGCCAGTGGAGGTTCCAGGCTTCCGAGTCCAGAGTTGGAGGAGCTGCCCGTGCGGGACGCTCACCTGCCACAGCTTGCTAGGAATCTTCTGCGATGTCGGCGCCGCCGTTCTACGGGTCAAGGTGGAGCACGAGATCTGCAGCCCTAGGTCGCCGAATTGGCACCCAAAGAGCAGTCAGTGGAGGTCACAAAAAAACAGCCAGTGGAGGTCCCAATTCCTCCCAGTGCACCACGCCTAAAAAGCGGCCAACGACAGACATAATCTTAGCACCCAAAAGAATTGCAGTGGAGATCAGGCCTGCGAGCGCACCGCTCAAAGAGCAGGTGGAGGTCTCAGGCCTCCGCGTGCCCCTGTTGCCCCTGTATCACCAGGATCTAGGTGCCCAAAAACCAGCCATTCTACAGAAGCTTCCAAACGCAACCTGCGATTTGAAACTTGTCTGCAAAAACACGGATTTCAACAGAGCCACAAGTCAGAGAATGCTGCATTGAATTGCTCAGAAACAATTTTCTGGCGTGCGCTTATTGCTTCTAATAGCAACCAATTGCAATTTGAAGCTTGCCTACAGAAAGAATGGTTTCAACAAATCCAAAGGTAGGGCTGCTTTGTGCAGATCCAGCTCGAAACATGGGCATGTCGACTCTATTGGCAAACCGTCGGAATGTTTGCTGTCCATTGAAGCATCAAAAGGAAACCAGTTACGCTTTTAATGCCTTCCTTGCTTTTCAGTACAGCAAAATCCTGTATGCGATTGTTGCCTCCTATGGAAAGCGCTGAGAATGCTTGTTTGCCAGAGACA